AATGAGAACTACCCATTCTACATAAAATCAGTCATGCCATGTCCTTACAGGCTAATAAAGGGTTTGCATTAAAGTCATGCAGCCCTGGCTGGTGTAGCCCAGTGGACTGAGCATGGGCTGTGAACCAAAGGGTCACTGGTTTGATTCCCAGTCAGGGCACATGCCTGGGTTGCAGGCCAGGTCCCTAGTGGGGGCCACGTGAGAGGCAACCACACATTGATGTTTTTCTCCCTTTCTTTCTCCCTCCTTTACCTCTCTCTCTAAAAATAAATAAATAAAACCTTTAAAAAATTTGTGTGAAAATGGACTTCACATTTCAAAAATAATAATAAATAAAGCAATGCCATGCCTTTATTGAGCTCAAGGCAGTAAACACTTTAATGCTGATATTCATGGAGCTATATAGATATAAAAGATTAGAAAAAACTTGCTCTCTGAATATAATAATTTTTGGAATATACCATTTTTATAACGTACCAGATGAGAAATAGGTAAAAGTGTATACCATAAGTCACTGAATAGTTTACATTTTTCCTTGCTGACATCATTTATGTTAAAAAACAAAGTCACATCACTTGGGTTTTGCCTTGTCAACACATTTTACTACACTATGAATATTTCACAATTGACTCTTGGAAGACTCAAACTCTTCCAAGTCTTATAAGGAAGAATGTTTATTTTGCTATATTTCTAGAAATTGAACTTTTAAATCTTTTTAAAGCTTTAAAGTTCTTTTTTGTAGGTTTGTATTAATGTTTGCTTAAGTAATGTATGAGATTTATTTAATTTTGCCTTGCACTGAATTGTAATATTTGCAATGTTCCAAGTGGAGTAATATTTAAAAAAACAAAACAAAACAATAAAAACATTAAAAAACCATGTTATTTGTCTTTTTGTTGTAGAGTTGTAAGAGTTCAATATTTTCCTTACTATTTTTGCATCTGCATTTTTTCCAGTTGAATCTCAGTATTGCTTCATCAAGAATGGCTAGCAAATTGGACTTCCAGCCAAGATGGAGGCATAGGTGGACACACTGTGCCTCCTTGCACAACAAAAATTTAGAAACAAAAAAACAACAAGTACTAACAGAAAATTGAACTGTATGGAAGTCTGACAACCAAGGAATTAAAATAGACACATTCATCCAGACCAGTAGGAGGGTCAGAGTTGGGCAGCTGGGCAGAGTGAGGTCGGGACAAAAAAAAAAAGCAGTGGCTGGCAGACCCCGGGCATGAGGTGGCAGCTAGCAGATCCAGCGAGGTGGTGAATTGTGGAGGGGAACGGTACGACTGGTGGACCTGGTGGTCCAACATTCACTTGCAGATAAACCAGGTGAAACTGTAGAGTGAGACAGACCACAAAACCCAGGGCTCCAGCACAGTGAAGTAAAGCCTCAAAACACCAATTGAAAACACCTGTGGGAGTTGAGGTGCTAGGAGAGACTCCCAGCCTCACAGGAGAGTTTGTTGGAGAGACCCACAGGGTCCTAGAATGTACACAAACCCACCCACATGGGAATCAGTGCCAGAAGGGCCTAGTTTGCTTGGGGGAAGCAGCAGAAGGGACTGAAATTCAGCAGAGAGCAGAGCAAGTGCCACTGTTCCCTCTCAGACCCTTCCCCCACATACAGTGTCACAACCTAGCAACTTGGGTTGCCCACTCTGGTGAATACCTAAGGCTAGGCTCCTCACTACGTAACAGCACATCAAGACAAAAAAAATAGCCCAAATGAAAGAACAGATCAAAGCTCCAGAACAAATACAACTAAGCGACTAAGAGATAGCCAACTTATCAGACACACAGTTCAAAGCACTGGTGATCAGGATGCTCACAGAATTGGTTGAATTTGGTTGCAAATTAGATGAACAAATGAAGTGAAATAAAGGAAAATGTACAGGAAACCTATAGTGATGGGAAGGAAACTGGGACTCAAATCAATGGAGTGGACCCAAAGGGAGAAAGTAACAACCAAACAGAAAAGAAGGAAGAAACAAGAATTCAAAAAAATGAGGAGAGGCTTAGGAACCTCCAGGACATCTTTAAATGTTCCAACATCCGTATTATAGGGGTACCAGAAGGAGAAGAGGAAGAACAAGTAGAAAAGTTATTGGAACAAATAATGAAGGAGAACTTCCCCGATCTGGCAAAGGAAATAGACTTCCAGGAAGTCCAGGAAGCTTAGAGAGTCCCAAATAGGTTGGACCCAAGAAGGAACACACTAAGGCACATCATAATTACAGTACCCAAGATTAAATATAAGGAGAGGAACTTAAAAGCAGTAAGAAGAAAGGAGACAGTTGCCTACAAAGGAGTTCCCATTAGAATGTCAGCTGATTTCTGAAAAGAGACCTTGCAGGCAAGAAGGGGCTGGAAAGAAGTATTCCAAGTCATGAAAGGCAAGGACCTACATCCAAGATTGCTCTATCCAGCAAAGCTTTCATTTAGAATGGAAGGGCAGATAAAGTGCTTCCCAGATAAGGTCAAGTTAGAGGAGTTCATCATCACCAAGCCCTTATTATATGAAATGTTAAAGGGACTTATCTAAGAAAAAGAAGATAAAAAACGTGTATAGTAAAATGACAGCAAACTCACAATTATTAACAACCACACCTACAATAAAAATAAACTAAGCAAACAACTAGTACTGGAAGAGAACCACAGAAATGGAGATCACATGGAGGGTTAGCAACAGGGGAGTGGGAGGAGGAGGGGGGGAAAAGGTGCAGAGAATAAGTAGCATAGATGGTACGTAGAAAATAGATAAGGGGAGGGCAAGAATAGTATGGGATATGTAGAAGCTAAAGAACTTAAGACACATGGATATGAATTAAAGGGAGGGAATGTGGGTGGGAGAGGGTGTGCAGGGTGGAGGGGAGTGAAGGGGGAAATGGGACAACTGTAATAGCATAATCAATAAAATATATTAAAAAAAGAATGGCTAGCAAATTTTATGTAGCATAAAAGCAAAAAACCAAATATTTGGCTTAAATCCAGTCCATTTGATTCTGCAGATGATATTCTCCCCAAAACATTTCCCTTTTAAGTGCCCTGAAAAAATGTGGCCACACATATTGTGAAGTTGATTTAAACTCTTCTTGTGTATATGAAGCAGGAGTGGGGTTCAGCAATGTTTTCCTGTAGGCTTGTGGTGGCTTGTGGAAGGGAGTAGTTAATTACTCTCTGGCCTGATTTACTTACAGAAGCACTGACTCAGAGACTGAGGCTGTAGAAGCTCTTTCCAAGTTCAGCATCCCACACTGGCCTGAGGTGATTATTGTAATGTCCCAGGGACCCAGATCCCACCACCGACCCCCACCCAGGTTCAGAATGTAACCCACACTGCACACACAGGCTGACTCCCAGCTACGGATTGGCATGGTGCTGGGCTCCATTAGGGAGCAGTGTGCTTTCCTAAAAGCTTTAGTCCTTGGGGAGGGATGTGTGTATGAAAGGGAACCAAGCATTTCTTATGCCAGTTGCTTAATCTCTGGGGTATCAGAAAGAGAAGCAAACTTTTCTTAGATCAATATTTTCAAGGCTTATCTGAGGCATGCACCTCTGCCTGGGGCTGGAGCATCAACTGATTCTCCAGCTTCTCTCTCCAGGGTGGGTGTGAACTCGAACACTTATAATGAATGTCTTGCATTTTTTTCCCTTGGGAGATTTATGTGTATGTGTGACTATGACAGAGAAAAAAGGGGTAATGATGAATTCACAGCTGGACATTTGGAGTGCTTGTTTCTTTACAACCAAGTTTCTAAACCCCCTTTCCCCCCATTATTGTCCCCACCTAAAGAGCATTTCCAGCTTCTTTTCCTCTAATTACCCATCTCCTATGACATTTTAATACTACTGATATACTGTGTACATGTCCATGGAATGTATGTATATCTGTGCTTGATACATAAAAATATATTTTTTGCCCCCTTGGGGGCCATATGGTCCCCACTTATGCTTTACAGTAGTTCACACCTGATTCCCTTGGCAGCCTCTACCACATAAAAGCAGGAAGAAGGCAGTTTAGTAGGTACTGTGGAGCATGTGAGCTAGTGCAATCAAGTCCTTAGCAAAGTACCTGGCACATGAAGTGTGCTTGAAAAATTAGAAGCCATGTTGTTGTTACCATTACTATTCTTTTATGGGTCACAGTGATGTTTGCACCTCTCTCTCAGGCTGTGAATTTCCATCATTCTTCAGGGCTGGTCAGAGGTCTGAATCATTCCCAGCCTGGAGCTTCAACCAGAGACCAGAGGGGCTTATAAGGTAGTGAGTTGGGCTGGGTGGGGACTGTGGCACCAGGACAGCACACCATGCTCCATTTAAACATGGCAGCTGCTCCTGAGCTACAGCCCAGTGGTGCCAGGCATGGTGCCAGGCAGCTGCTAGGACCTAGTGGTATCAGATGCATGGTTTCTCAGGAGAAGCTGGGAATCTGGATTTTTGGTTCAGTCTCCTGACTTGTAAGCATTGACTCAATTAAACAACAATAACGTTACCAAGTCCCGAAATGCAGTGCTCTTTCCACTTAACCCAGCGCCCACTCTGTGCTTCAGAACCCTCCCCACTTCACTTTTTGGGGGTAGTTCTTAACGCATCTCCCTCTGGCTCTCCTGCCTGGGGAGGAGGTTCAGGCTGGGGCCATTCTGATTGGGACCAACGAGGATAGCTCCCCTCCCCATCCATCACCCCCTTTCCAGAAGGACCTGGATTCTGTCTGCAGAGGCAGAAGGTCAGGACACCCGAGCCTTACTCGTGGGCACCGGGAGAGTCCGGCTGGGAGGGCTGAGCCCGCAGAAGGAGGCGGCTGGGCTTCTGGGCCAAGTGTGAGGACGCGGACCCAGGGAGGGCGCGCGGTGGGCGGCACCCGGCCTCGCCCAGCCTCTCCCCGCGCTGACCTCTGCACCTCGGAATGAAACAGCCCGTTGTTCGAGCCGCCCTCTGACCCCTCCATTCGGGGCGTTGCTTTCTATTCGCCCGGGTCGCGGGTAGGAGGTGAGGAACGCCCGGGTTTAGGAGGTTGGATCCACGCCAGGCCTGTGGCCTTAGCCCCGGGGCCACCAGGCGGCCGCGATCGGGCGGGAGGACGGATCGGCTGGTCCGCTGTAGCGCGGCCATGGGCTCCGGGGGCTCCAGCGCCGCGCAGATCCCGGACGCGGACAACATTCGGCGGGAGACGGGCTGTGAGCAGGGCGCCCGGGGCTCCAGTGGGGTCCTGAGGAAGGCTGGGTGGAGGGATGCGGGAGCCCAGGAAGTAGGAACAGTGATCGCGGGGCCAGGGGCACGGTACTCTTGCAGCCCGGCGTCCAGGTTTGAGGCAGAGCCGGGTTCCCGAGCTTGGGGACACTGAGGGTCCTCCAGCCCGGATGGAAGGGGTTGGCTTTGGCCCCTTGGTCTCCCGGAGGGAAGCGCTGGGGGGCGCAGAGAGCCTTCTCAGATCTGGTCACGCGCCTTCAATCTCCAGCTGGCCCCAGGTCTCAGGCGGAATGCACCCTCCGGCCAGCCTCCGACCGCCGCCACCTACCCGGCCACCCGGGAGTCACCCTTCTGCCTTTCCTCCCACAGTCTCGCAGGCCAGTTTGCTCCGTCTCTACCACCGGTTTCGGGCCCTGGACAGGAACAAGAAAGGTTACCTGAGGTGAGGGGGAGCTGATCTGTGACCTTCCCCTCTGTGTCTCTGATCCTATCCCTCCCTTTGACCCTTCATCTTCGGTCTCTGCCCTACCCGTTTTGAACTACCTTTCCAGCCGCGTGGACCTGCAGCAGATCGGGGCGCTGGCTGTGAACCCCCTGGGGGATCGCATTATAGACAGCTTCTTCCCTGATGGGTGAGCCTCGCTGGGCATGAGGAGATGGAGGGAAAATCTTGCGTGGGAGGGTTGGGGTAGTTTAGGGACAGAGGCAGAAAGAGAGCCAAAGTGACCACTTCCTCTGGTCATTCCACCTCCACCCCTCCCAGGAGTCTGCGAGTGGATTTCCCAGACTTTGTGAGAGTCCTGGCTCACTTCCGACCTGTAGATGAGGACACAGGAACCCGGGACCCCAACGAACCTGAACCCCTCAACAGCAGAATGAACAAACTTCGCTGTGAGTTGGTAGGGTCTCCCCAAGTGAGACCCTAGATTTACCACAGCAGTGAGTGGCTCCAGGCACTTCCACTCCCTTCCTGAGACTATCGATGACTCCCTACTGGCCAGGGTGACCTGCTGGAGGAGAACCAGGAAAGACCTACCTTCCCTTCCCCCCTCTACTCTCTCCCCAGTTGCATTTCAGCTGTATGATCTGGATCGAGATGGGAAGATTTCCAGGCATGAGATGCTACAGGTTGGAAGAACACAAGAACAGAGATGTAGCCTGTGATGGCTGGATGGTTGAATGGAATGATTGTGGGGCTTGGGTAGATAATTGGTGGGTTGGGGATGCAGATAATCGGAGTGTTGGTTGGGCAATGGGAATGGGTACAGTTGGAGTGTGGGTTAGTTGGGAGATGGGGGGTACCACAGTCGGGGGTGAGGTTAGCAATAGATCAGTGGTTCTCAGCTGGGGGTGATTTTTGCCCCCTGAATGATATTGCCAATATCTGGAAAGATTTTTGGTTATCACAGCAGGGGTGGGGGAAGAAACTGGCACCTTGGTGGGTGGAGGTCAGGAATGCTGCTAAACATATTATAATATGATAGCACTCCCCTATACACACAAGGAATTATTTGGCCCCAAATGTCAGTAGTGTTGAGACTGAAAAACTCTGGGTGGGATAGATGTGATGAAGTGGAATTTGAGAATGGGGTGGAGACTGCAGTTGAGTAATGAGCCTGGGCATACTGTTGAGGTGAGTGTGGGAAAGTGAGGGACAGATGGGCGTTTGCATGGTGAAGCAATAGGAGGAATTGGTGGATATGGTAGGAAGTGATTGGAATGGAGTGAACAGTGGATGAGGGATGGATTATGAAATTGTTAATAACTTTTGGGGCTATGTGGACAAGGTTGGGGGTGGTGTTAGTAGTTCCTGTGCCTCCTCTTTATGGTCATCTCTTCCTCCACCTCCCAGGTACTCCGGCTGATGGTTGGGGTACAGGTGACAGAAGAGCAGCTGGAGAGCATTGCTGACCGCACAGTGCAGGAAGCTGATGAAGATGGAGATGGGGCTGTGTCCTTCCTGGAGTTCACCAAGGTCAGAATGCCCTTGGGGCCTGAGGAGTTGAAAGCATGAGTCCCTAGGACAGATGGACATGGGAATTGAAGCTTGAAGGAGGAAGGCAAATACAGGGGTTCCCAGAAATGGTGGGGCTTTAAGGATGGAAGAGGTTGGGAGAATAGAGGACTATAATTCAAGTCCTCTTGACTACCACCCATCTTTACCAGTCCTTAGAGAAGATGAACATTGAGCAGAAGATGAGCATCCGGATCCTGAAGTGACCTTCATTGTGCATCTGGCCAGCTTGAAAAGAACAGTTCTGCCTGGGGTTCGTCCTTAGCGTCCATGGAGGGATGGGCTCCAATAAACTGTATTTTTACATCTACATTGAACCGTATTTAGGGTCAAGGAGGCAAAGCTGAATGGGTGTGTACTAAAGTCTAACTCATTTGATTCTGGATAAGCAAATCAGCCAATGATCTTGGTTGCAAGTGACTGAAATGCCAAATCAAAGGGACTTCAGTTAAAAGGGGACTTTTTGGACTCGTAAAAGTGTGGAAGTGTCTTCAGGCACAGCTGGATCCAAAAGCTCTCATGATGCTATCTGGACTCAATTATTTTCCATCTGTCAGATTTTTTTTTTTGTATGTGTTGGCTTCATTCTAGAAAGGGTCTTTCCTCATGGTGGAGTATGGCCACCACTTGCTCCAGGCTTCCTCAGTAACCCAGTGGGAACAGATTTTGTTTTGCAATAATTTCACGCAAAGAGTGTCATCAGCTCACTGGGGCCTTGTCCCTACTTCAGGGGTAGGGAATATTCTGATTGGCCTGGTGTGTGTCATGTGTTAGCTGCTATAGCCAAGAAATAGGTACTGAGGACTCAGGATGGGGTAAGGGATGTTTACTTAAACTTTAAGCCTTAAAGGACAACAAAGTGCTATTATCAGAAGAAGGGGGATGATGTTGGTTAGACAAAATAAGATATCCATTACTGTTAAGTTGACTAAATGTATGGATTCCTGAAGTCCTTAAACAGGTGTTCACTTGATCCCATGGGTGCATGCTGTTGATTTGGGTGGAGGGGGAAAGAGGTGATATTAAAATAATAAACAAGACATGCCTTCCTGTAATATGAAATAGTTCAGAGTTTTGGAGAGTAATTTCATTTTTTTAATGGTGTTGATACACCACAGAGAGTGTGAAAGTCACATAAAAGCATGAGATTCTAGGTCTGGAGCAAAGCACTTTGGCTGTACCTATGGGAGATGTGTTGGTGCCCTGCCCAAGTCCTCTCCCAGAACTGTGCTGGAGTTGTCTTGTATCAACACATGAGAGCCAACTGTGCTCATATTTTCCTAACTCTGCTTTCAGTGATGTCACACTGGCACCTTGAAATTGGCTGTTGTGGGAATATATACACTAGAGGCTCTGGCAAATGCAATAGGCAGGGCTTTTCCACACAGGAGAGGCTGTTGTCAAACCTTTATTTGTACACTGGTTGTCAGGTCTCACTATTACCATATACTCATATGCCAGTGGTTCCCGATCCCCAGCTTTAGTGAGGTATAATTGGTATGCAAAAAATATACATAATTAATATATACAATTTGATCTCTGGCTGGTGTGGCTCAGTGGGTTGAGCACAGACTGCGAACCAAAGGGTCGCTCGTTTGATTCCCAGTCAGGGCACATGCCTGAGTTATGGGCCTGGTCCCCAGTTTGTGGTGCTCAAGAGGCAACCACACATTGATGTTTCTCTCCCTCTCTTTCTCCCTCCCTTCCCCTCTCTAAAAATACATAAATAAAATCTTTTTAAAAACTGCACATAATTGATATATACAATTTGATGAGTTTGTATGTAATCAAGGCAATAAACATGTCCATCATCTCCAAAAATTTATCCCTTCATTTTTTAGTGTTTTTTTAAAGTTTTTATTTACTTATTTTAAAAGAGAGGGGACAGGAGGGAGAAAGAGAGGGAGCAAAACATTGATGCATGAGAAAAACATCGACTGGTTGCTTCTTACACATTCCTTAACTAGGGACTGGGTCCACAACCCAGTCATGTATCCTGACCTGGAATCTAACTGGTGACCTTTTGTTTTGCAGGATGACACTCAACCCACAAAGCCATACCAGTCAGAGCTAGTGGTTTTCTTTTTGCTTGTTTGTTGTTTTGTAAGTGTTTAGTAAGCACACTTAACATGAGATCTACTTGCTTAACACATTTTTAAAAATTATGTTATTGTTGTTCAATTACAGTTGTCTGAATTTTCCCCCCTTAACAAAATTTTTAAGTGCATAATACCTTATTGTTAACTCTAGGCACTATGTTGCAAGCAGAGCTCTGGAACTTAGCTTGTGTAACTATAACTTTATATCCACTGTACAGCAGTTTCCCATATCCTCCTCCCCCATCCCATGGTAACCACCATTCTATTGTCTGCTTCAGTGATTTTCAACCCTTTTCATCTCTTGGCACACATAAACTACTAAAATTCTGTGGCACACCAAAAATATATTATATTTTCACTAATCTGACAAAAAGTAGGTATAATTTTAATTCATTTATACTGGGTGGCTGTTGTTTTGTTGGCTGTTGTCATTTTTTATTTGACAATCTAAGGAAAAAGAGGTCAGTGCCCCTGACTAAATAGTTAGGTATTGCATGTCTTAAAAATACTTGCAGTGCACTAGTGTGTCTCTGCACTAGTGGTTGAATGCACAATAGTTGAAAATTGCTGATCCATTTCTATACATTTGATTATTTCAGTCTCCTCGTATAACAGGAACTGTGCTGTATTTCTTTCTGTGGGCTGTCTTATTTCACTTAGCATAATGCTTCCAGTCCCATCCATGTTGTCACAAAGGGTAGGCTTTCTTTATTATTAAAGACTGAATAATATTCCATTGTATGTATATACACATATATCTGTTGATGGACATTTGGGTTGTTTTCATATCTTAGTTATTGTGAATGATGCTGCAATGAACATGAAGGTACAGATATCTCTTTGAGATAATGGTTTTATTTCCTTTGGATATCCACCTAGATGCGGGACTGCTGGATCATATGGCAGTCCTATTTTAATTTTTTGAGGAACCTCCATGGCTCCTTCACACAAGCATGGGTGCTACTCTGCCCTGGGACTTTGCCAGACACCTGCATGTACTCAGCTTGTGTGAGGGGCAGGTGCAAGTACCAGGGTGTTCATGACCCTTGGAGCAGATCTCAACCAATGACAGATGGAAATTTTGGTTACTCACCTCAGTTTCTTCACTCATCAGGTGGGACAATTTAGAGGCATGTTCTCTCCAGCCTCAGAATTCTCCAGCAAGTAAGGGCCTTATTGCCTTCAAATAAGCCCCCTTGTTAAAGCCCCCTTGGTGGCCCCTTTTGTTCCTGTCTCACTTTCACACTCCTGTTAGTGCTTCCTGGGTCACTTTACAAATAAACAACTGCTGTGAAATCCTTGTCTCATGGCGCTTCTGGGGAAACTCAACCTCTGGGTTATTAGATCTTCCAGAACATGAGCTCACACTCCCTATGGTTGTAGGCACTCAGTGGGATTCTTTGAGGAAGCACTGTGTAGGGTGATTGTATAACTCCTGGCATTATCTGACTTCGGAGAGTCTGAGGTCATATGGATAAAGACTATGGACCTTTGGGGATCTAGGTATTGTCTGGGGTGGTATATTAACTCCATTTCAACTTTTGCATTTGATTGTAGCATGATTTTGACAGATGAGTTTCGTAGTTGAGAAGAGGAAGCAAAGAGGGTATTTGATTTCTGAGAGAATTTTGTGACTCTTGTTAGAGGATTGTTATATGAACAAAGACTTCATATTGAGGGATGTTTGTTTAGTCTCTGGGTCTATTCAGGGTGCATGTGTGGAGGGGGTTGTATAAGATTCAGTGACTGGCTATTTTTTTCCAGGCAGTGCTGAGGAAGGTTTGTATAGAGAAAGAAATATAGAAGAGATAGATAGATACAGAGATAAAGAGACAGAGAGACAGAGAGATGATAGAGACTGACTTTCTTTAAAACTGGTCTATTTTTCTCAAATAATATTTTATTATATATTTTAATATATTTTATTAATTATGACATTACAGTTGTCCTATTTTCCTTTTAAAATTTTTTTTAAAGATTTTTAAAATTTATTTATTTTTAGAGAGGGAAGGAAGGGAGAAAGAGAGAGAGAGAAACATCAATGTACGGTTGCTGGGGGCTACAGTTGTCCTATTTTCCCACCTTTATTCTCCTCTGCCCTGTGCACCCTGTCCCACCCACATTCCCCCCGTTTAGTTCATGTCCATGGGTCATACTTATAAGCTCTTTGGCTTCTACATTTCCTATACTCTTCTTAACCTCCCCCTGTCTATCTTCTACCTACCATTTATGCTACTTATTCTCTGTACCTATTCCCCCTCTCTCCCCACCCACTCTCCCACTGATAACCCTCCATGTGATCTCCATTTCTGTGATTCTCTTCCTGTTCTACTTGTTTGCTTAGTTTCTTTTTTTTTTTTAGGTGTGGTTGTTAATAGCTATGGGTTTGTTGTGATTTTACTGTTCATAGTTCTTATCTTCTTTTTCTTAGGTAAGTCCCTTTAACATTTCATATAATAAGGGCTTGGTGATGATGAACTCCTTTAACTTGACCTTATCTGAGAAGCACTTTATCTGCCCTTCCATTCTAAATGATAGCTTTGCTGCATAGAGCAATCTTGGATGTAGGCCCTTGCCTTTCATGACTTGGAATACTTCTTTCCAGACCCTTCTTGCCTGCAAGATCTTTTTTGAGAAGTCAGCTGACATTCTATGGGAACTCCTTTGTAGGTAACTGTCTCCCTATGTCTTGCTGCTTCTAGGATTCTCTCCATTTTAATCTTGGGTACTATAATTATGATATGCCTTAGTGTGTTCCTCCTTGGGTCCAACTTCTTTGGGACTCTCTAAGCTTCCTGGACTTCCTGGAAGTCTATTTCCTTTGCCAGATCGGGGAAGTTCTCCTTCATTATTTGTTCCAATAACTTTTCCACTTGTTGTTCTTCCTCTTCTCCTTCTGGTACCCCTGTAATATGGATGTTGGAACATTTAAAGATGTCCTGGAGGTTCCTAACCCTCTCCTCATTTTTTCGAATTCTTGTTTCTTCCTTCTTTTCTGTTTGGTTGTTTCTTTCCCCCTTATGGTCGACTCCATTGATTTGAGTCCCAGTTTCCTTCCCATCACTGTTGGTTCCCTGTGCATTTTCTTTTATTTCACTTAGTGTAGCCTTCATTTGTTCATCTAATTTGCAACCAAATTCAACCAATTCTGTGAGCATCCTGATTATCAATGTTTTGAACTGTGCATCTGATAGGCTGGCTATCTCTTTGTCACTTAGTTGTATTTGTTCTGAAGCTTTGATCTGTTCTTTCATTTGGGCCTTTTTTGGTCTTGATGCATGTGTTCTGTAGTGAGGAGTGGAGTCTTAGGTGTTCACCAGGGCATGGCAACCCTGGTCACTAGGTTGTGATGAAGTATGTGGGGGAGGGGTCAGAGAGGGAACAATGGTCCTTGCTCTGCTCTCTGATGGATTTCAGTCCCTTCTGCTGCTTCCCCCAAGCAAACTGGGCCCTTCTGGTTCTGATTCCCGTGTAGGTGGGTTTGTGTATGTTCTAGGACCCTGTGGGTCTCTCCAGCAAACTCCTGTGAGGCTGTGAGTCTCTCCTGACACCTCAGTCCCCTACAGATGTTTTCAATCAGATGCTTTGAGGCTTCATTTCCCCGTGCTGGAGCTCTGGGTTGCTCTGTCTGTCTTGCTCCCCAGTTTTGCCTGGGTGATCTGGGTGGGAATGTGGGACCACCCAGTCCACCAGCCACGTTGTACACCAAGCCCCTCCACAATCCGCCGCCTGGCTGTGTCCACCCACTGCCGCTTTGCACACCTGGGGTCCTCCAGCCACCGCTTTGCTGTGAGTCCTCTCCACCCAGCCACCTGCCTCCACCTCTTCTACTGGTCTGGATGAATGTTTCTTCTTTAACTCCTTGGTTGTTGGACTTCCATACAGTTCAATTTTCTGTCAGTACTGGTTGTTTTTTTGTTTCTAAATTTTTGTTGTCTTTCTTTTGGTTGTGTGAGGAGGCAC